GCGACAGTGTCGTGGATAGCGGCTGAGCTCAGGGACCACCCCCTGCGCACCCCCTACGGTGTCGTGAAACTGCCACGCCTGCTAGGCTTTGCGACAGTGTCGTGGATAGCGGGCGAGCTCAGGGACCACCCCCTGCGCACCCCCTCTGGTGTCGAGAAAGTGCCACGCCTGCTAGGCTTTGCGACAGTGTCGTGGATAGCGGCGAGCTCAGGGACCACCCCCTGCGCACCCCCTACGGTGTCGAGAAAGTGCCACGCCTGCTAGGCTTTGCGACAGTGTCGTGGATAGCGGCCGCGCTCAGGACCACCCCCTGCGCACCCCCTACGGTGTCGAGAAAGTGCCACGCCTGCTAGGCTTTGCGACAGTGTCGTGGATAGCGGGCGAGCTCAGGGACCACCCCCTGCGCACCCCCTACGGTGTCGAGAAAGTGCCACGCCTGCTAGGCTTTGCGCCAGTGTCGTGGATAGCGGGCCGAGCTCAGGGACCACCCCCTGCGCACCCCCTCTGGTGTCGGGAAAATGCCACGCCTGCTAAGCCCTGCGACAGTGTCGTGGATAGCGGCTGAGCTCAGGGACCACCCCCTGCGCACCCCCTCTGGTGTCGAGAAAGTGCCACGCCTGCTAGGCTTTGCGACAGTGTCGTGGATAGCGGCCGCACGCAGGGACCACCCCCTGCGCGCCCCCTCTGGTGTCGAGAAAGTGCCACGCCTGCTAGGCTTTGCGACAGTGTCGTGGATAGCGGCCGCGCTCAGGGACCACCCCCTGCGCACCCCCTACGGTGTCATGAAACTGCCACGCCTGCTAGGCTTTGCGACAGTGTCGTGGATAGCGGGCGAGCTCAAGGACAACCCCCTGCGCACCCCCCTACGGTGTCGTGAAACAGCCACGCCTGCTGGGCGTTGCGACAGTCACCCCCTGCGCACCCCCTACGGTGTCGTGAAAGTGCCACGCCTGCTAGGCTTTGCGACAGTGTCGTGGATAGCGGGCGAGCTCAGGGACCACCCCCTCCGCACCCCCTCTGGTGTCGAGAAAGTGCCACGCCTGCTAGGCTTTGCGACAGTGTCGTGGATAGCGGCCGCGCTCAGGGACCACCCCCTGCGCACCCCCTCTGGTGTCGAGAAAGTGCCACGCCTGCTAGGCTTTGCGACAGTGTCGTGGATAGCGGCCGCGCTCAGGGACCACCCCCTGCGCACCCCCTACGATGTCGTGAGACTGCCACGCCTGCTAGGCTTTGCGACAGTGTCGTGGATAACGGCCGCGCTCAGGGACCACCCCCTGCGCACCCCCTCTGGTGTCGAGAAAGTGCCACGCCTGTTAGGTTTTGCGACAGTGTCGTGGATACCGGCCGCGCTCAGGGACCACCCCCTGCCACGCCTGCTAGGCTTTGCGACAGTGTCGTGGATAGCGGCCGCGCTCAGGGACCACCGCCTGCGCACCCCCTCTGGTGTCGTGAAACTGCCACGCCTGCTAGGCTTTGCGACAGTGTCGCGGATAGCGGGCAAGCTCAGGGACCACCCCCTGCGCACCCCCTACGGTGTCGTGAAACTGCCACGCCTGCTAGGCTTTGCGACAGTGTCGTGGATAGCGGCCGAGCTCAGGGACCACCCCCTGCGCACCCCCTACGCTGTCGTGAAACTGCCACGCCTGTTAGGCTTTGCGACAGTGTCGTGGATAGCGGGCGAGCTCAGGGACCACCCCCTGCGCACCCCCTCTGGAGTCGTGAAAGTGCCACGCCTGCTAGGCTTTGCGACAGTGTCGTGGATAGCGGCCGCGCTCAGGGACCACCCCCTGCGCACCCCCTACGTCGTGAGACTGCCACGCCTGCTAGGCTTTGCGACAGTGTCGTGGATAACGGCCGCGCTCAGGGACCACCCCCTGCGCACCCCCTCTGGTGTCGAGAAAGTGCCACGCCTGCTAGGCTTTGCGACAGTGTCGTGGATAGCGGGCGAGCTCAGGGACAACCCCCTGCGCACCCCCTCTGGTGTCGAGAAAGTGCCACGCCTGCTAGGCTTTGCGACAGTGTCGTGGATAGCGGCCGCGCTCAGGGACCACCCCCTGCGCACCCCCTCTGGTGTCGAGAAAGTGCCACGCCTGCTAGGCGTTGCGACAGTGTCGTGGATAGCGGGCGAGCTCAGGGACCACCCCCACGCCTGCCACGCTTTGCGAGCCCGAAACGGATAGCGTCCCCACCCACAGCTCACCCCCTGTGGTGTCGAGAAACTCACGCCTGCCACGCGTCCCCACCCACACTCACCCCATGTGTGTCGGTGTGTGTTTGTGTGTCTGTGTGTATGTGTCTGTGTTGTTGTGCCTGTGTATGTATGTGTGTATGTGTGTCTGTGTGTGTCTATGTGTGTCTGTGTCTGTTAGTGTATGTGTGTATGTGTGCTGTGTGTATATGTGCTGTGAATATGTTTGTGTGCTGTCAGCACTTATGCAAATGAGAAAGTGCTGCGCTGTGCTGTGCTGTGCTGAGCTGTGCCGTGCTGAGCTGTGCCGTGCTGAGCTGAGCTGAGCTGAGCTGAGATGTGCTGAGCAGCGCTGTGAGGAGGAAGGGAAGAGTGAGGTGTGAGTGTCGCGGGTGCGGCGCGGCAGGGAAGAAAACCATAACCCCACGAAGCATGTGGGGAAAAAACTCGCCCCGAACCTGCGCCTAAGCAAGATGTGCGCCGATTGGTTCGCAAGAGGGGAAGCAGAGTCCCATTGCGCCCCAAAGGTGTACGAGGAGCTCCTCGAGGTCGAGATGCAGTACGCCAAGGTGGCCACCATCCATTGCACGCTCAAGGTTAGCGTTTGGGAGCCGACGGTGCCTGTTGTGCCTGCCCAGAACCTGCTCCCAGCGGCTCCTGCGGCAACGATTGTGGCGCACACCATTGTCAGGCTGCGTGGTGTTGGCACCTGCAATTGCAGAGTGTGTGCGGAAAGGACATCGGGGAACTCGGCGGCAGCCTGTAATCTCTTCCTTCACACCCCGTGACCAGAGTTCGGGGCTCGACCTGGTGAGGGCGGAGGCCATCATCGAGTTCGCGGGAGGCTCCAAGCACGATGTCTCGGAGGCTGGCACTTTCGCGAGGCTGGCGCTGGACAGGTCGCCATGCCTGGAGGACCTGGGCAGCTCGGTTCCAGCGGTGGTCTCGCAGTGGGCTGGCTGGGGGGTCGCCCTGCTCAATACGCATCCTCGCCATCGCTCGGACGTCCATCCCGTGTGCTTTTGTCGGCTTCGCGCGTGGTTTTTTCGCCAAATGATCAAGGATGCTCCTCGATGGTCCTCGCCGAGGAAAAAATGCACACGTCCGAGCGCTGCCGAGCATCGGCGGCGGCGCGCTACACAAACAAACACACACACACACAAAAGTGTATGTTTTTGTTTGTGTTGTTAGTTGTTTTGTTGTGTGTGCTTTTCCCACAGGGGAACAAACAATGACATAAGCATAAAAACTCCGAGGTCCGCGCGGATTCCTCGGATCGGCGCCTCTGGCGCGCGCCGGGCGCCATGGAGGGGGGTGTCCAACGCCGATTCGAGAAATCCGCGCGGACCTCCAAGTTATGTTTGTGTCATCGCTTGTTCCCCTAACGCAAGATCCTGGCGGCAACCACCCGGTGTTTGCGCCAGTGGGCTTGGCAGCAGCGGGAGGCTCACCGTCTGAAGGGTTGCGTGCTGGAGCTGCCGGGGCCGAGGCTGGGAGTGGCCGAGTGTTCTAACATGCACCCCTTTGCATTACGTACCATTGATGGTGTGGTTCTCTTGAGATGGTGCTGTGGCACGTGGGCTTCCCTCAGCTGGGTGGACGTGATCCCCAGTGCGTAGCGTGAACACGTCGGGGCCCGAAACGGCCCAGCTCAAGCCAGGACGTTGGGTTCCAGTGGTGGGTCTCTTGAGGTGCTGCTGTGGTACTCGGGTGTCCTTCGGTCCGCCGCGGCTGGGTGGAACACGTCCTCGATATGTAGCGCGAATGCCGCCGGGACCCGACTCGGCCCAACCATGGACGCCATGGGCGTCTCTTCTAGTTGGTGGGCGGGCCGTAATTACAAAGTTTCTCACCTCGTGCGGACGTCCTAGTCATCCAGCTGGTGCTGGAGGCCAGTCCACGAGAAACCTTCCACAAGAGACCCAATCCTGAGACCCCAGGACGTCAATGGATTTTTGCTGTGGGAACGTCACGCTTCCCATAGCAGAACCATCGAAACCCAGGAAACCTGGGGCACCCTGGAGGCAAGCAGGGTGCTTCGATTCTTGGTGTGGGTCTCCACTGTACTCGCCCCGATCGCCGCCCCCAACCATCCACACGCCGCAGGGGCCCGACCGCCGGGGCGCCGCGCGCCCCGGGCAACGGCACGCACGCCGGGAGCCGGCTGCGGAACCTCAAAGCCGCCGACCCGCTCTCGCCGGGTGTGGCGGGGCGGGCCGGGGCCTCGGAAGGCCGGCTGCCGCCTCGGCGGCCCAGCTGCCTCCTCGTGGTCCGCCTCCCAGTGCTCTGCTGGATGCGCAGAGTCGGCTCGGCCCTCGTGGGCGACGTGGGCGGCATTGCTCCCCGTCCGGCACGGAGCTGTCCCCCAGGGCGAGGGCCCCGTGGCGCTGTGGGCGGTCCACACGTCGGCCTCCCGAGAGGCCCGTCGGGGCCCCCGTGGGAGCCCCGTCTGCCGCCTGGTGTCCGCGACCGGGACGGCTGCGCGAAGCCTCGTTTCCTCGTTGCGTCTCCTCTTCCTCGCCCTTCCCTACTCCCTCCACCTCCCTCCTCCCTTCTGCCTCCTCCCTCCTCCTCCTCCGCCTCCTCCTCCTTCTCGTGCTCCTCCTCGCCCTCCTCCTCCCTTCTCCTCCCTCCACCTAGTCCTCCTCCTCCTCCTCCTCCTCCTCCTCCTCCTCCTCCTCCACCTCCACCTCACCTCCACCTCCTCCTCCTCCTCCTCCCCTCCTCCTCCTCCTCCTCCTCCTCCTCCTCCTCCTCCTCCTCCTCCTCTTGCTCCTCCATCCGCGCCTCGCCCCACCCCCCCCGTGGCGGCCATGTCACACCCGTGGCCGCGATCAGGATGAGCCCCGTGACGATGCCCAGGATCCAAGAGGCCTGGCAGCGGGGATCCCCCCTCTGCGAGTCCCTTGCCCCCTATCTTCCTCCCTCGCCTCTTCCTTCATTCGAACCCTCCTCCTGGTGCTGCTGCTGCTGCTTCTCGTCCTTCTCCTTCCCCTCCTCGCCATGATCAGCTTATCATCAGCATTCGCAGCATCATCATCCTCATCATCCTCATCATCCTCATCATCCTCATCATCCTCATCATCCTCATCATCCTCATCATCATCATCATCATCATCATCATCATCATCACCACCACCACCATCATCATCATCATCATCATCATCATCATCAGCATCATCATCATCATCAACAACATCAGCATCATCATCATCATCATCATCATCATCATCGTCATCATCATCAGCAGCATCAGCATCAGCATCAGCATCGTCATCATCATCATCATCATCATCATCATCATCATCATCATCATCATCATCATCAGCGTCCTCATCATCAGCATCATCAGCATCAGCATCAGCATCGTCATCATCTTCATCATCATCAGCATCATCAGCATCGACAACATCATCAGCATCACCATCATCACAATCATCACCATCATCACCATCACCATCATCATCATCATCATCATCATCATCGTCGACGGCATCATCATCATCATCACCATCATTACCATCACCATCATCATCCTCATCATCATCATTATCATCATCAGCAGCATCATCAGCAGCAACATCATGACAGTCATCATCATCAGCAGCAGCATCATCAACACCGCCAACACCACCACCACAATCGGCGGCAGCATCACTAGCATCACGATCACCATCAGCATCAGCATCATAATCATCAGCTGCATCATCATCAGCAGCAGCAGAATCACCATCATCATTAACACCATCATCAGCAGCATCAGTAGCATCATCATCATCGTCGTCAACCTTATCATCATCATCATGGACATGATCGTCACCACCACCACCATCATTCACATCATCAACATCATCAGCATCATCATCAGCATCGGCAGCATCATCATCGTCATCGTCATATCGTCATCGCCATGATCAGAGCCATCATCGGCAGCACCATCATGTTCATCATCAGCAGCATCTGCAGCAACATATTCATCATCACCACCACCACTATCCGATCATCCTCATCAGCATCATCATCATCAGTACCATCATCATCATCATCATCATCATCAACATCAGCATCGCGATCGTCAACAGAATCGAAAATAATAAGATCGGCATCGTCATTCTCAGCATCACCACCACCATCGCCACCACCAGCTTCAGCAACCGCATCAACATCAGCATCACCATCATCTTTAAAACCAGACTCATTATCATCGTCACCATCGTAATCACCATCGTCAGCATCGCCATCATCATAATCATCAACACCACCGTCATCGTCATCATTATCACCACCATCACCATCGTGATCAGCATCGTCGCTGTCATGATCACCTGCAGCATCATCATCATCAGCAGCAGCAACATTATCATCTACATCATCATCATCATCATCATCATCATCATCATCATCATCATCATCATCACCATCGTCGTCACCGTCGTCGTCGTCGTCATCCTCATCCTCATCCGCATCCACATCCTCATCCGCATCCTCATTCTCATTCTCGCCCTCATCATTAAACATCCTCCATCCTTCTCCTTCGCCAGGTTGTTTCGAACCTGCTGCTCCTCCTCCGCCTTCTCCCTGCTTTTTGTTAGGGGTGAGGGCAGTGAACCGTGGTACCCATGCCACCTCGGGGGGGACCCATCGACCCCTCGACCGGGGGGGGAGGGGACCACATAATCTGACTTTCTCGTGCCGAACTGCCTCCGAAGCCCTGGGGCCGAACTCACGGCAACGGGAGCCTCGTCTGGAGGCGCGAGAAGGCCAGAGAGGAATCCGATTCGACGCTG